GCTCCAGGCAGCATTCGCCCCCCACCACGGGGCCGAAGGGTTTGGGGATGCCCAGGTCCTTGGCCAGGACGATCATGGTGATCTGTGGGTTGACACAAGGGGAGCCCGGTAGCATCAGCACCGGCCTCTCCGATTGATAAAGCCAAAGGAAAGCCGCCAGCCACCCTTCTCCATCAGCCTCACCCCAAAATGGGGCATTGACGCCACTTTGTGCAGCTGCCCTCCCCCAGGCCTCCAAATCAGTCATCATTTTCTCCCTTTTTATCATTAAAATGCGCCCTACGCCTTGCAATTTCACCACTTTGAAAGGTTTTCACCTCAAAACTACGTAGTTTAACCCAACCGCAAGCAAGACGAAGCCGCAAAGTTGTCGTAGACCCGGGCTTATTCGAGCCTGGCTGGAGATATTTTCTTTTTCTGGGCAACTGTAAATATTGTGCTTTTTTGGGACAACTTTGGGGACTCATCCTGGCTGAATAAACTGGTTTTTGGAGAGGACCTGCGGAGCGGTGACCCCCCTCACCATGTTGGGGAAGTACGGCACGGCTTTGCCCTGCTTGTCAAGCTTGAAAAGGGCTGGCAGGTCGACGATGTCCTCCTCCGTCAATCCCAGCTCCTTCTTGAGGATGTCCCTGTTCCAGTCGATGCAGCACTGGAAGGGATGGAGAAGAGCAGGTCGAGGTGGGGGACACAGGTGGGCACTGTCCCCAAAGCCATCTCACGCAGGAGGACAGCCAAAATTCAGCACCTCCCCTTAAGGGTTTGCTCCACCCTGGGGTGGTTATTGCAAGAAATATGGATTATTACCAGAAATATTGGTTATTACCTGGACATAGTGGTTCTGCTGCACCAGGATGTTGTTGGAAAGGACCTTGTTAATGGTGACCCGTTTCGTGTCTGTCCCCGAGTACCCTGCAAATGCAAATCCCTGTCAAAATGAAGTGGCACTGGTAGGAGCCCGGATTAAAACAGGGCACAGAGATGGAAAAAAAAACCCCAAATCCCAATTCCCTGAGCTTGGGGTTAAGACTGCTGGGAGTCCCAATTCTTAGTTTATTGGGAAACTGGGTAGGAGGAAAACCTCTGCCTGTTGGAAAGAGCATTGGAAAGGTCCTGTCATCCACCCTCCTGCCCACAGGAGTCATTGGCTCTTAAATTGCTCCACTCAGCTCCATAAAACCAGAGCTACCACCTCCACCCCTTGTTTTGGGACGGCCGGGTCCTGGGCAGGTGACAGTGACCCAGAGGGACCCGCGGAGGTATGGAGATCTTCCCCCAACCCCATCGCGGATGGATGATGTTCAAAACCACAATTAAAGGGTGCCCAAACTGGCAGCCAAAGCGTCATTGCTGCAGGGAGAGAAGGGCAAGCGAGAAAAAATGGTGCTAATTTGGGGTGACACGAGAGCCCCCCAGTTGTCCCCACTCCGTGCTGGAGCTCTGCTGGCATTTACAGAGATGCTCCATCCCACCGAGCAAGCATCCCCTCCGTGCAGAGGGCTTTATCCCTCCCGTCCCACTCGTTTTCCCAAAATAGGGCTTGAGGAGGCTGGGTATGGTGGGCAGGCATCCCGCTTGCCAGCCGTGAAGGGCAACCGGCTGGGAAAAGGTCCCCACGTCCCCCCGATACCCGCACGTCGGTCAGGCGCTGCCGCCCTCGGGCCGGCTGCTCTGCGGGGTGGCCTCCGGCTGTCTCAGCTGACATCAAAGCTCGGCCGAAGCCGCCCATTGTCCCCTTGCCTTTGAACATGGTGGCTTCGCCCTGGCCCTCCTTCTGCTTCTCCCGAAAGAGCTTGTAGCACGCCGCGGGGCTGGCCATCAGCATCCGAAATCGCTGGGGCAAGACAGGAGGGAGAGCGGTCACCGAAAGTGGCTTATCTGAAGCCTTGGGGGACCTCAGGGGCTTATTTTTGCAAGGAACCTGAGCTTAAACTCTTAAAATTAGGCATCTTCGCTGTTATTTAGTGCCTTTTTAAATGCAGTGCTGAGGGGATATATCCGAATGAGTTGTGGTGATTTACGCTGTTGGCAAATACCCACCAAACCACCCCCGAGGGGTTAAACTGCTGCTGGGACAGGGAGGAAAACTGCAGCTTGGCTGCAGCTGGGTCCGATCCTGCCCACCCCAGGTGGGGTACATAAACCCCCGGGAGGGTGTTTGTTGGAGGTTTGGGTGAGCTGAGATGGTGGGTTGGGGGTATGGCTGCTGTCTAGGTTGGTATTTTTTGATTCTGGGCTGGCATTGCAATGTAGGGGGGAGGATGGAGCAAGTCAATAATCATGCTCTGACTTTCCCAGGAGAGGCCAAAAATCAGCATTAAGCTAATCCTATGGAAAACTGGGAATTTTGAATTTCTAGGGTCTGAGCCCCGTGTGTGTCCTAGCTTTCTTCCCAGCAGCAGAAATGGTCTCCTTGGTGGAGTGCAGGAGGCTGCTTGCTGCAATCTTGATGGCAGCTCTTACAGGGGCTTAGCACAGCCCTGAGGAGGGGAAAAGCACTGCATGGAGGGTTTGTGGGGTGCGTGTGTGCATAAATACTCCTTTTCTGAACTGTCCAGGTCAAGGCATGGCTTCCCTGGAGGGAAAAGTCTTGTGTCAGAAGCAGTAAAAACCAGGGTAGAAGGAAGAGCTAGCTTTTGAAAACATCTGGGAGATGTGGAGCAGCTGTGAGCCCTGGGCAGCCCATGTGAATACTGGGGTTTAAATTTCTTGGACTACCTTTGCAGGTGTCTTTTTTCTTCTATCTGTGTTGATTATTAGCTAAGAAAGTTCCTTTTTGTATTCAGAGCCCTTATTTTGGGGACAGGGGTCAGAACCCAAGCAAATAACTGGCTGGGACTGTCAAGGAAAGGAGCTTTGGAGTTTTCCCTAGAGGTGCCTCAATGGGATTAGTATCTCAGAAGAGAAACCACTTGGTTTGGGGATTTGGGGTACCTTTGTGTCGGAGGTGGGCACAAAAGTGACGAACTCGTCGACGTGGCCCACGGACAGCCAGTCAGAGTAGAGCTCCACGGGAGCCTGCACTTGCTGGGCGTAGAGGAAATCCCGCACCAGTCTGGTCATTCTCCTCCCTGCGGATCTGGGGGCAGAATACCCCCGAGAGAGAGAATAAGGGGAATAAATATTTATGTAGCCAGATGTACATACACATAAACTGGTATGGTGGAGGAAAGAAAGGAGGGTGCAAATGTGAGGGCAGAGATTGAGCACTGGGGTTGGGTGCACCCACCCCATAGAGGACCAGATTTGCAGCTGGTCAGGGAATGGCTAATTAAGCCCATTAACATGATTTTGATTTGTGGTTCCTTTGCTCCCAAAAAATGTAGGTTTCCCATCTCTTACGTGGGGAAGCTGCTGCCGATGAGGATCCTCCCCAAGGGATACTCCTTCCCTGCCACAGTCACGGGTGGGCTGACCTCCAGGTTGCCGAAGGAGTCGAGGCTGGTGATAGCTTCGAAGAGGGGCTCTCTGCTCACATAGCCAAAGTCGGGGCCCTGGGGAAAGAAAAATCGCTGTGGGCTTTGCCCTGAGTCCCCCCTGCCTTTGCTTTTATCCTTCCTGCTGGGCTCAGACCTGCTCCAGTGGGTAAAAATGTCAAGAGTGAAGTCCGTCTGTGGATCGGGAGAGGCTGAAGGAAAGGCAAGAGGATAAAGGTCTCTGGGTCATCTGGGCTCAGTAATAAACGGCAAGTGCCAGGGGCAGAGCTGGGGCATTGAGCTGGGGAGAGATCTCTTCTGCTATCCTGCAGCCAATGTTTAAGTGTCCGCATTAAGCTAATTAGGTGCTGGGGTAGCCCCAAAGGTGAGTTCTAGATGGCTCTTGTCGAGTGAGATGAGCTTCAGCCCCTGAGGGTAAATCCACCCCAGGCATAAGAGCCATCCGAGGGGCTGTACTTCACTTAAATCCTATTTAAGCCCTGATTTTCAGGACTTAATATATCTGAGATTTAAGGTGTTGTGCATGCAGGGGTAATTAACACTTGGTTGTGATGTGCCAGGGTCAAATGCCTGAGGGAGAGATTGCAATGTAAAAAACAGGGCAAAAATGGCAACGGTGGGACAAAAATCCTGCCTTGAGCCTGTCCTTGCTCTCTGGTTCAAGTCAATGTGGGCTTGGAGCTCACGACAGCCCCTGGGACAAGGTCAGGTATCTGGGTTTGCATTCAGTCCCAATCACTTGTTAGTGTTGGGTTTCCTTACGGGTAAATAAAATATACAGGTCGGTAAAAATGAGCAGGGAGACCCAAGGGTGGATGGTTATAATCTAGAAGTTGGTTTTTTTAATTGAGTGTGTTTGGAGAAGCAGGGAGCTGCTGCTGCCTTTCCCTAAGGCTTCCTGTGCGTTTTTGGGGTGCATATCTGGAGAGTGGCTGGGGGTCAAATCCTTTCCCTGGGTGCTGCGGGAGGAACTGAACATGAAACACCTGCTCTCATCTTATTTCAGTTTAATAAACCACAGAGCCGGTACGGTTTCAACTGTCAAGGCGCTGGTTCATCCCAGGTTTGCAGGTTGCATCCAAGTCCTATCGGTTCCAGATTGATTTTGAGGACATTATTCCCTCTCATCTCCTTTTTCCCTGGTGCAGGGTCCCAGGGGCTTAGGGCTTGGCCGAGGCGAGAGGAGGACCTGTGCGTGTTGCGTTCGGCTAAATATTCCTAGCTGGAAAATGAGATTGGAAAGATAGGAGTGGGGATTAGGGGAGGCTTCAAAGCGGAAATTGGAGTATAATGTGTTAGCAGCTCCAAAGGCTGAAATTGCTTCTCTAAATATGAAGTAAAGCAATTCCTAAGGAGGGCAGATAGGAGCGGTTGCCTGGCTTATTTGCGAAGGAGCAGATCAGTGCGCTATTCCCATCCTGCCTGATGAATGCGGGACTGCATGTACTCATTTCAGGCATGAGAAGTGGTGTATTTCAATGCTTTTGAACATGCTTAATCTTCCCCAAAGTGACGTGCAGCAAAAAGTGAGCTGTCCTCTTCTCCCGTTACTGTCGGAGAGAAGACCAGGGCTGAGGCTGCTGCCAGGGCCTGGCTGGGTGTATGGGCAGAGATTTGGTGGCTACTTGGGGATGTCCTGCCCTTTCTGCATGGCGATATCTCAAAGGGATGATTCAGCCCATCTTTTTCTCAAGTTTGTCTTTGCTGGGCTCTCCCAAAACACCCTGGCCAGGGTCACTGCTTTCCCAGGAAGCTTTCTTTGCACGCCCTGCCTGTGGCTGGCCCTTTGCCTTGGCAGAGAATCCCCACAGGGATGTTTTTGGCAGCTGGCTGCATCTTGCTCTCTTCTGAGCAAGTAAATTGATCCCTCTCACACTTTCCTTTCCTCTCCTGCTCGGGAGCTGCTGTGTAGTCAGAGGTGCAGAGGGGGAAAGGAAAAACCAGCCCATTGCTCAGATATTCAGGGTGAAGGAATCCACTCCTGTCCCAGAGCTTGGCAGGAGTCCTTTGTTCCTAGAGGCATGGGGTCCTCCTTGCGCCTCTCATCCAGCACCTTCTGGATAAAAGGTTTTCCAGATGGCTGGGATGTGGATCAGGCTCTGCTCCTTGCTTTGAGGGGGGTGAGGCTGTTGGTGGCCTCCCAGCTGGAAGTGGACGGGGTGGTACCTCCATGCAGTTGCATGCAGAGGTGTTAAAACTCTCATTTTTCAGGCAATTCATTGTAGGGCCTCCAAGGAGCCAAGTGCAAATGGGATTTTAGGAAAGATTAAACAGATTAAGCATAAAAACCTTCAAGCTGCTCCTGGAGCAATGCAAGTGACTGTCCTGCTCTTACCAGCAGCTCCTTGATGGGGAATTGCTCCAGCCCTCCATCTCGAGGGGAGTCCAGCACCACTGGGAAGCTTTTGTGGGGAGCATGGGTGTAGCCAAACTCAATCTCATCCTAAAGAAGGGAGGAAAACCCGCATGGGGTACATCAGCAGGGAGGGAAAGCTTTGCTCCCTCTCTGGTGCCCACCTACCTGCATCCAGCGGTCCCCACGGTTGATATAGCCACAGCAAACCTTCAGCTCACAGCCAGCCTTGTTCACCAGGTTTTTTATCTCCTTGATGAAGAGGTAGTTGTCCTTCATGCTGGGAAAGTGGATGGCAGGAGAGAAGGGGATGAAGGGCTGCTGGAGGATGGATATCCCCTGCAGGCAGCTGCCATTCCCTCTGCCCATCACCTCCCAGCCTGTCTTGGTGATCTCCAGGGAGACTGTGGGGCTGATGTTGATTTGGCTGGGAAGGCATCATCCCTTGGCCTTTACCTGCAGACGAAGACGTTCACCGGTGCCAAAGTGTTGGGTGTCATGATCCATGGTGCTACCCTGAATGCTACTGTGTCGGTGAAGATTGGTGTATGGGGGATACCCTGGGGGAGGCAAGCAGAAATTGGGAACTTTCCACACCCTGTTTACCACTATTCCCCCCAAATACCCTACCCTTGAGGTCTTTTTTGGGGTAAATTAATGGGGACTGCTCTCCATTCAATCCCTATCCCCTTCTCCGTGCCCCTCAGGATGTTGCACCCTTTCCCTGGAGCCCCCAGACCTCAGCCAAGGTCTCCAGGAGGCTGACATGGATGGAGACCAGCCCAGGGAAGGTATCGTCGGGAAAGCGGAGCCCCTCGACAAAGAAGTCAAGCTCGGCGGCCCCACCGGTGTATTGCACGGTGTGGTACAGCTTCCTCTGGCCCAGCACGTGGATGTAGCGCTGCCCAAAGAAGGGGTCTGCAAGAAGAGAAAGGGGAAGGTAGGCAATTTCCAGGGTTTCACTGGTGGTTTCAAGCTTATTTTGCTTGTGTGCAAGGAGGTACAACCACCCCTCTGTGCTGGAGCTTCTCCGCCTCTGTGGGTGGATACAACTTCATCGGGCAGAAGTACCTTAAAACAGGAGTTTAAGGGGCTTACAATTCTGCAGTCATGCACAAGAAGGGTGAGGAAAAATGTCTCAGCCTTTCCTTGGATGGAGCAGTCATTGGGAAGATGTTTTCGTGGGGTTTCTGCCCTTGCAGCCCCCTCTGACCTGCCATGGGATGAGATTTTTTTTCCTGCTGACAGATGGCCTCTGCATGGAGGGACACGACCAAGCTACTTAATGTCACGTTTCTGGGCTGGATGAGGGCTTTTGGTCCCAGGGAATAAATCACTGTGCCCACAATAAGGAACAAGGAGGTGAAAATGTGTTGTACAGCATGTTGCCATCATGGATAAAGCATCTGGGTGTCAGGACACATGGCCTTTTTTTTTTTTTTTTTTTTTTTCTACTTCTTTGCTGGATGACCTTGGATAAATGGCCTTATGGCCCTGTGCCTCTGCTTGTTAATCTCCAAAGTTTTCCGATTGATTGAGAAGAGACAATATTCAACACCGGAATAATTTGGAGAAGGGATGCTGAGGGCATGATTTGCTTCAGAAGTGTCATTTGAAGAGCATGGAGAGGACAAGGTCAGAGATGGAAAGAAAAGAGCTTGCAGGGATCTCAAAGGCACCATAAATGAGGAGAAAGGGGCAGAGGAGGAGGTGAGGAAGAACTTACTCTGTACGTAAAAGACCCCAACTTTGTCTGCGTCAGAGACAGGAATATAGAGAACGATTTCGTACCCCCGGGGCAGGCGCTGTGGCCCTTCGGTCCTCAAGACCATCCGAGACATGTCCAGCAAATCTGGGGTGCAAACAAAAAAACCTGGGTGATGGGTGATTGCACCATGCAGCTCTGGCTGGCTTGCATGCTCCCTCCTGGGGTTTGCATCTCCCACGCCAAGGGAAGAGCTGCTCTTCCCTTGCTACCAGCCTTCGCAAGCTGGAAAAACAACCTGTGGTCCTGCTAGCAAAGCTTGTGGCTTGGGCTTTGAAACAAATGCTTTTTTTTTTTTTTTTCCCCCGCGGCCCTGGCACAGCTGGTCCCTGGCCTCAAAAAGCCGATGGGCACTGTCTCCGCGTGGTTTTAGTTTTCCAGGAACAGGCGGGTATATTCCTGGCTGCCGGCTGCATGCCTCACCCCGAGCTCCTTTCACCCGTGCAAAGCATCCATGCGCCAAGCTCTGCCGTCACTGGCACCTCTGCTATTTTACTGGCCGTGCTTCGTGCCTCTGCTTGACCGCAATTAGTTTGCATGGCATTAAAAAAAAAAATTCCCATGTGGGAAGCTTACTCAGCAGCTTGGTGGAGAGCAGCTCATGGGCAGCTGGTTCCCAAGCAAAATTTCACTTCCAAAAAGGTTAAAGAGGGGGAATGATGGAGCATTTTTTGCTTATATGATTTTTTTTTTTAATTGAAGCTGAGTTACCTTCTTTGCTGAATACCCTTTCGTCATTGCAGTCCGATGCCGGAGTGAGGGGGCTCTCCTTATCACAGCTGACGAGCAGGATGGCCCCGTGTCCCTCGGGACCCCAGGTCCAGCTTGCCTAAAACACCCCGCTGGGGCTTAGCGAGCTTAGGCTCTTGCAAGCCCGTGATCTTTCTGTGCAGTGGAAGAGGTTGAATTACCTTGTTGGGGTTGTTCTTCTCCACCACGCCGTCCCGATCTGCGTCGACGTCCAGAGAGATCCCTGGATGGGCAGACCCCACCATCATCCCAGGGTACGGCAAGGTTGGGTGGGTGCAAAAGCCCCCCAGAACCCAGCAAACCTGGGTCCATCTCTGCTCTCATAACAAAACACCCCACTCCAAGGGACCAAAGGGTTCAAGAGGGATTGCTGCATTGCAGAAGCCTTTGTACTCACCGATGCCGGTGAGGAAGACCCCGGCTTGGTTAATTGGTTGCCCTCCCTCTGTGTAAAAGCTGATGGTTACCTGCAAACCCCCAAATCCCTGGTTGGGGAAGGATGCTCTCCCTCCGTGGAGGTCCCACACCCCAGCACCCCACTTCTTACCTTATTATCATTGACCTCAGTGCTGGCCTGGCTCATGCTGAACCTCAGGACTGTCCCCTCATCCAGCGGCCACTGTGTCCTGCTGCTGGGGGCTGACCTGACCTCTGCTTGGCCCTGGCACACCACCTCCACGCTCACCCCCTCCGTGTGCTTCACGCTGAAGGAGACCGCCCCGGCTGGGGCCGCCCTGCCAAAAACACACTGTATTTTTAGAGGTTTGCAGTGAAAACACCTGGTTCTCACTGCAATTAATTTCACTGCCCAAAACACAGCCAAGACTGGGCACGCTGGCGTCTCCACGCTCACCACCGGCACCTTTCTGCCCTTTCCTCCCTGCCTGAGAATGCTTGAAGTGTCTTTTTTTTTTTAGGGCAGAATACTATTTTAGCAAAATGAGTCTATTTTGTAGCCATTGGTGCAGATTAAGATCTATAATAATCGGAGCCAAAGCACTCAGTGCGGCTGGAACCCAACTTGAGTTTGCACTTCAATGGAGAAATCTGTGTTTATTTTCCAGCTGAAGCAAACCTGGTATTTAACAGCTCATCGTAATGGCGTGGCAACCCAGCTGAGAGACTTTACCATGGGAAACTCTAATTTTCAGTGTGATTTTATCCAAGCCCGAAGCAGCTGGTGTTGCACTGCTCCCAGTCTGTGCCCTTGCTTTTCTCCAGCTGCTCCGTGTGTCCTTTTGCCCTCTCCTGGCTCCTTGTCCCTAATTTTGCTGTCTTTCCAGGGTTATTGTTTTTGGGATGCTTACAGCTCCTGAGGTGCAGGCTCCCTTTGAGCATACGTGCTCCTGATACCTGAGAGCTTGCGCCGTATCACTGTTACAGCATCATTTATTGGGTTTCTGGGTGCCGGCAGCCCTGCCAAACCCGTACCGGGGAGGGGGAGAGGAAATCTGAGCCCTCGTTTGCTGCTGCCCGGGCGTTTCTTAAATTGTTCAATTACATTTAATTATGCATGGAAAAACTGGTTTGGTTTCCTTGTTTCTGGGTTTTGGGAATCCCACCGGGAGGAGATTTGACCCGGAGAGATGCCAGATGAGTTGTAGCTGCGCTGCTTGCTTGAATATTGAGGATGAGATTTGCAAAAGCAGCAAAGACCAGAATTAACCATGAAATGAGCTTTTAAACTTTTTCCTTTGGGGGAATAGTTATCTTGCAGTGCAGTGTTAGGTTGGTTTTAGGGGTGCAGGGCTGGTGTCATGGGGACTTGTGTGCTTTCCCAGGACACTGCATGGTCACTAGATCTTGTTTTCCTTCCCTCTCCCAGTTGCATCCCCTCCTTTGCAGTCCATCCCCGTGGCTCCTGCTCATCCCTCCGCTCTCCAGCACCTTTCCGAGATGACACTGGAGCTGTTGACTGCAAATGAATCAAACCCATCGCTGGTGCAGACCCGGGGTAAATACCATTACCATGCAAACGTGCATGCTCAAAGCTTTCCTGGGACTTGTGCAGATTTGCAAAGCCCAGGGAAGATTTTGCCCACAAATTGCATTAAATCACAGCATGAGGGCTGCGGGTTTTGGGGGAGCAGAAGGAAAAACGAGGGGGGATTTGCGGAAGGAGAAATGGGGGTAAAGGCGAGGAGAAAGGTGGAAGTGCAGAAATGGAGGGAGGAAGGGGAGCATTGGGGCGTCACACTCACCCGTAGACATCGACGGAGATGTGGGTGCCCAGCACGCACAGGGCCTCGATGCGGTTCCCGTGCTGCAGCCGGAGCGTGCGGTCCCCTGGCATCTCCCCACGCAGCAGCCCGGATGCCCCGATGATGGGCACACACACCCTTCCCCACCTGCTCCGGGTGGCACTGAGCCCCCTGGCAGCACCCAGCTGCCTCTCCTTCCTCCCCGGCACGCCTCCCTCCTCCTCCTCGACTGGCTCCAAAGCAAATCCATTGGCTTTTGGAGCTTGCAAAGTTTGGGATGACAAATTTGCAGCCCCCACCCCAGTCTGAAGGGAGGGGCGGTTGGATTGGACCCTCTAAAGCCCCATGAAAATGATCTCCGCAGGGAGGGAAGGGATGGAGAGGGAGGGCAGCTGGCCTGAAGCCCAGCCAGCTCCCAGCCCTATGCAAGGAGCTCCCCCAGCTGTCCCCAACTCCCTGTCCCTCCAGCATCTCCCCGACCCCAAACAGGGACAAGCAGCCCAACGGGGACGTGATTTTGCAGTGCTTTGGGTTTTGGCTGGCATTTGCATCCGTGGGGTATCTGTTCTTTTTTGCTCTCTAAGGAAAAGCTCTGGCTGCTCTTGGGAGGAAGAAATATAATTTCCCAGCCCTTAGGCGAGAGCAGGACACTCCTCTTGTTTTTTTTTTTTTTCCTGCTTATTTTCAGAGGGAAGCTGGGGTGTGAGTTGCCAATGAGGGGAAATCGGAGGTGGTTTTGCACGGCGAACCTGCCGCTTGCCACACTGCACCGGAGCACGTCAGGAGCAATTGCTGCCCACGCAGCCATTTGCATTATTTATTAACATCAAGCTAAATATTCATTTTAAAAACCAAACTTCTGCCCCAGATTTTGGAAGCCACAAGCAATTAGTGAGGAGCAGAAACGTTCAGGTTCATGTTCCTTATTTATATCCCTTTCGGGCTTTTCTTTTTTAGTGCTCTCTTCCCTCTGTGGCTGGGGCGTAGAAATAAGCTCAAATTCAGTTTCCCATCTGAAGTAGATCCTGTTGTGGTTTTTTTTGCCATGACCTGAGCAAATGTGAGCGAGGACTTTGCGTTGCTGAGCAAACACTTGGGAACACACAAAAAAAGGCAGTTTTGCTGCTTTTCTGCATGTGCAAAAATGAGATTTGTGGCAATGGGGACATTTTATTAAAGGCTGTAGATGTTCTCCCTGAGGAGTAAAAGAAAATATAAACCACTTTGCTCCCAGACTGTGCCTTTCGTAGAGCATCGAGGTCGGAGCGGCACCGCTGCTGTGCAAAACATGCCGGGGGCTTGGGTTAAATGACCCCCGCTTTAGACACCCTGACCCAGGAGCTGACCTGCTGGAAGCTGGAAAATGTTACTCCTGAGCAGCATCATAATTTATCTATTTAACTCCTGTCTATTTAAACCACCAGTAGTAAGAAACACTGGTGAAAGAGGAACCAGAAAGGCAAATAATTTAAAAAGAGAAGAAAAAAAAACCACCCAAAATTGCATCATGTTTGCACAAGCGGGCTCTGTTCTCCAGCACTGTATGAGACTTATTTCCCCTCTTTTTACCCCAAAGGAGAGCCGGCAGCTGGCACCACACGGGCTGGGGTGGCCTCACCTCCCTGTGCTCTCCTGGGACCCGTGGGCTGGGGAAATAGAGGTGTAAACCCATCAGTTTGGAAGAAAATGAGCAAAAAGCAGCTTCTCTTTTACCATTTTCACTTCCCAATTCCTGCGCCCGAGGATTTAGTGTTTCAGTTGTCAGTAAGGAAAACACACATGCTATTTAAATCCTCCTTTTCTTCAAAAAAAACCCCAAATCCCTCCCATCTTACGGAAGGACCCCAGGGTCACCACATCACTTGGATTTTTAAAATCAGCCAGAGCATTTCTAGCTGGTCATGGGGTTTGTTTTATACATCTATATATAAATATAAATGTATTTATATCCCCTATGGTCCAGCTGGCGTGATGGTGCTAGTCTGGGTAAAAGCCCCCGGCACTTGCCAGGCAGAAGGAAACCTGTGGACCCTTAGGAGCAAGTGTTACCTGCTAGCAAATATGGGATTGAAACCCTGGTGGCTCTGGGGATTTTTGGGTGGTCCTGGCTGCCCGCGGG